AAGACTCAGTGTCTCAGAAGAACTACAGTTCCCATAATTCCCAAGCATTGAGCCAAGACAGTTAAAGTGGTCTGAAACTAGATTATTTCTGGTAGTCTGTTCCGGCCCTATATTAGGCCAAATTAACATACGCCTAAACAGGTACAAATTGGTCCACATTAGCCTAATTTGCTATATTATTTGAGACTGGGCAACATGGTTGCACAGTCATAATTGTTAATAAACATACACAACACAAGATAATTAGTATGGTGCTGCTGTCTCCCTTTGTTCCTGTAGTTACAGTGTTGGACTAGGTCTGAGGAAACCCAGTTTCAAATCTGGATTGAGCCACAAACTCACAGGTCATTCACTCTTCCCTAAACCAATCACACAGGATTGTTAGGAAGACAGGATGGAAATGGAGAAAGCCACATGTCTTAGGACGTTATCACACAGGGGCAAATCTGCTGGTTAATCCACACAAATCCCAAACAGAAACTGGATTTGTGCCCCCCATTTTCACACGACGTCGCACAGAAACTGGACAGAAAGTGGACAGAAAGTGGTGTTAACCGAGATCTTTCGAAATTCGGTTTGGAGGAAATGCAAATGCGAAATTAAGGTAATTTCGAATTTACTGTAATGTGAAAAGCAAATGCGAATTTGAGAGCATTTCCCTGCTTTTCCCATGGTTCCAGTGAGCATTCCTCTATCTGTGCATGTGCAAGAAGCTCATTTCTAGTACATTTACGGGCTTTTCTCACTTGTGTGTGAACGTTAAATGCGCTTACTGTAATTTCACAATTAAGGTAATTACGTGTGAAAGCCATTTGCGGAATCAAGGTTTATTTTCGGTTTATTTTCGGAATGCCTCATTTCCACTTTATTATCGCTTTCTAGCCCACGTGTGATAACGTCCTTAGGCTTCTTAAGATAAATGTGGAAGTGGGGTGTGGTAAATTAAGACATTATACCACTTGGAGTACTACTACTACTTTGAGAAAATAAAATTCATTCAAACCTCTTTCAAATTACAGCCCAATAACTTCTACCAATAATTAGACATGTGTGTGAAGATATTTGCATAATATTCTTTATTTGTGTAATGAAGTTTTGGCTAAATTCCATCTGTTACTATGTGGAAGTGCAACTTAATGGCAAGAAAGTAGTTTAGGAAGACTAACAGATTGATTACACAGGTTATTACACACCTATTGTTTGCACAGTATTTAATCTGTTTGGTTATTTCTTTATTCATTTTTAAACCAAATAATTGTTCAGCAGCCCAATTATACTCAATCTTGATTCACTATTTCATTGTCACAATCAGAATTAATTATATTCCTGGCAACAGAGATTAGTATTAAACTTTGATGAAAAGCAGAAGAGCTATGTCATATTGAGGACATTTTGTCATAAGGATAGTTCAGTGTCACATCTCCTATACAAAAATAATGAATGTCTTACATGACATAGTCAGGACTGTGGTACTACAATTCTCAGAAGGACAAAGAATGTAACGAAACAATAACAGTAGGAGGAAACAGATGGAAAGGAGGTGCTTACTGCAGTGGTGCAGCAGACAAGAAACAGCAAAGTCAAACTGTACCTGGGGTTTATTTTCACTATGCCAAACGATCTGCTACCTTCTTGTGCATCCTGCATTCATATTGTTTCAGCCTGACACTTTTTAACACTTACACACAGTTTCATAAGCATTTATGAAATGCCCGGTGCTATTTCTCACTTCCAGAAACACTCCTCCAATCTAAGTATCTATTTACTACTAATATATATTTGAGTTTGTAGCATCAAAGCATTTCAGAATCATCTTAAATCACTTAATCTATTCAGAAAAATTATCTAACTCCTATCACCAGTTAAATTTTTGTTTTCCTTTTTCGATAAATGTCTCCTTCAATGACAATATCCTATAACAAACACAAGAACACTTTCAACTCCTGTCTGCAACATGACTCCTCTTTTCATGGGTTCAAATAAAACTCTCGCTAATCACTTCTTGTTTCATAACTATCTCAACTCACCTTGTTCTGTTGCTATAGGATGCTATGAAGCTCTCCCCTTTTCTTTCTCCCCTTAGTAGTCCTACTGCTACTACTGCTGTTAAAATTAAAATCCAAAAGCATTAAAATCCAAACACCATAAATGTTTTAGGGTCACTCTCCATCTGAGAGTGGCCTGCATTTCTGTTAAGAGACACAGTATCCTCCTAAGTAGCTAGGACTATGACCCATAAATACACTCTCCTCTGCAGTCCAGATAAGTTTCTAAAGGTGCTTTATTACAGATTCTCAGAGACACTATTCTATACTTCCCTAAAGTTGTTGTTTTTCTTCAAGTAGATTCTGACTTATGGCAATCCTAAGGCAAACCTTAGGATTTTCTTGGCAAAATTTGTTCAGAAGGGAGTTTCCTTTGCCACCCACTGAGGCTGAGAGAATGTGACTTGCCTTAGGTCGCCTTCTATGGCTGAGCCAGGATTTGAACCCTGGTCTCCAGACTCATAATAATAATAAATTTATTTTTATCCCATCCCTCTGCGTAACCCAACCGGGGTGGCTTACAACATTAAAATATACATCTCATACCCCACAATCCCACCCACCCCATATACCAAAACATGAACTCCAGATGTGGTTGGACTGCAACTCCCATCGCCTCTCATTAATGTCTGTACTGGCTAGTGCAGTCGAGCCAATGTCCACATTCTATATTTCATTTTGTATCTCACTACTGGTATGAGTATCTTTCAAGTTTCCAGCTATTTTCCATTTGGCAGATACTTCTTCTGTCTGTCTTCTAGCTGTCATCAGAAATGCCATAGTCCAACACCCAAACCACTAAAGCATGCTGGCTTTTTAACAGTATTTACCTCTCTCCACAGCATCCCTTTCCTAAGTCTTCTTCACACACATGGGAGATCCAAAGAATTTATAGTTACCAAGTATTTCAAAACACCAAAAAGAGACATCCAAAATTCACAACATGCAGGTTGACAATTAGCAAGTTGCTATTAAAAAGTCCTTGTTCTATCTCAATATCAAACATAAATACTGATACCAGTTACCCTATCAATGTATTTCTTTGTAAAATTGACAAATTGTCTACATCCACAAATTATATGCACACACTTCTGCATTTATGATTGTGGTCATTCACCAAAATACATATTTTGGGGGCTCTTGTTCAGGCTACACAGAAGGAAAAGCTTTCCAACCCTCAAATAGGGGACACCCCTGATAATAAGGGACACCCAACAGCCTTATAAGGACAAGCCTTTTGCATGATTATCAAATAAGGGACATTTCTTCTAACAAGGGAATAACCTGGTAAACTTAGACCTACAGCAAGACACAGGCTGCATCTACACTGCAGAGTTAATGCAGTTTGACACCGCTTTAACTGTCATGACCTAATGCTATAGAATTCTGGGATCTGTAGTTCTGGGAGATGGTTAGCTTTCTCTGTGAAGAGAACTCTGGTGCCACAACAAACTACAAAACCTAGGATTTTATAGGGTGGAGTTATGGTATTTAAAGTGGTGTCAAACTGCATTATTTCTTCAAGGTGGCAGCAGCCACAGAAAATGGCCCAACAAGCATACCCATGTGCCTTCATGCATCTGAGAAAGTAGGGTCAAGTCTCGGAAAGCTCATACTACCAGCTTCTCTCTTTCATTTAGTCCAGTTAGGGTGACGAGATATCATAACTGCAAAAGGAGGACAAGGCACTGCAAAACATAGGACAGTCAAGGAAAATGTGGGATATTCCACAATAAAAGCTAAAAGCACTCGCATAAGTATAAATTCATGTTTCTTAGTCCAGCTCCAAAGGGAGGGAATTTTGGAATTCTTCCTGGACAGAAAGTTGAAATGTAGGGCCTTTTCTGGACAGAAGGCTGAAAGGTAGGACATCTCAGGGAAAAGGAGGGCACCTAGTCACCTTGACTCAGAATGGAGGACATTGTGGAATTCCTGCTGGACAGAAGATTGAAGTGTAGGACCTTTCCTGGACACAAGGCTGAAAGGTAGGACATCTGAGGGAAAAGGAGGATGCCTAGTCACCCTAGGTCGAAATGGAGGACATTGTGGAATTCCTCCTGGACAGAAGGTTGAAGTGTAGGACCTTTCCTGGACAGAAGGCTGAAAGGTAGGACATCTCAGGGAAAAGGAAGGATGCCTAGTCACCCTGGGTCGAAATGGAGGACATTGTGGAATTCCTCCTGGACAGAAGATTGAAGTGTAGGCCATGTCCTGGAAAAGGATGATGCCTGGTCACCCTGAGTTGGTCTCAAAGGTGCTGCAAGATCCCTTTGCAAGCTGTTTTTTCCAGTCTCACAGGGCTTTGAGTTCATGGGCCCTTAACCGCTTTAACAACGGGTCCCCCCCCCCATGGCCCTGCTCCCCCGGAAGGTATGGGGCAGCCCCTCTTCTCCCTCCAAGGTTGGGAGTCTCCATCCCCAGGAGGAGACCTCGCCTGCCCCCTACAGGGCGCCACCAAAAAACGCCGGTGGGGCGGGGAGGGAGGATGCTCCAGACGGAGCCCGGGACTAGGGCTGCGTCCACACTGCAAAAAATAATCCGGTTTGACACCACTTGAACTGCCCTGGCTCAAGGCTAGGGGATTTTGGGAACCGGAGTTTGTTGTGGCACCTCGCCAGGGGGTGGCCCAGACGTCCTCCTTGTCCAGGACGGGTCCTACATGCCCACCTTCTGTCCAGGAGGCATTTCAAAAGGTCCTCTCTTTTAGAACTTGACTCAGAAGCGTGGCTTTCTACTTCTGGGAGTGTGTTTAGCTTTCCTTTTGTGACGCCTTACCTTTTT